CGTTTCTCGATGTTAGGGACAAAGATTTATTTAAAGATCTAATGAATAATTTAGTAATTTGACGGGTATTTACGATGCCAACGAAGCTAATAATAACGTTATATATTAAGTTTCTAGGACGAAGTGCTTGTTTACGAGCTTGCTAGAGGCGCCAGCCAGGCGATCGTTTGAACTTCAGGCATTAAATCAACGTCTGCCAGGACATTGATAATGGCAACAACATTAAATCAAAAGTATGATGAACACTTAGTTACGTCAGCGTGCCTATAAGTCCATCCACGGATTCACCATAAGATGTATAGTGCTAGGCGTGCATAACGCATAGAATACAAGATTCTTCCCCCTTGCATGAGTAAAATTTCTTATTCGACGACGCCGCGCCGGTCTGGTTATTTTTTTGTGAACTGCCAAGCGGATTATCATTTCAAAGACTTCTAATCATTTAGTAAAAGGTAATTCTTAATAAAGCTGCAATTTCTTTCTATATTGTTCAACTCTTTGGGCGTTCAAAAATTTAAAAATTTAGTACTAAACGAGGAACATATAACAAATTAAAAATACATTCACTTTAACGTACATCTTTTGTTCCATTTGTTCAATATATTGTACTTTTTGAGTACTCTGTAAGTAAATTCTGTAAGTAAATTAGTATAAGGTTATTTATACAGCACTCTAGTATAGCCTGAACACTCAAGGGATTAAAGCATACTAATAATTGTGGGATTCAGCAACATAAGTAACAAAATTTTCAGTGTGAAAAATCGGTAAAAGTTGACAAAGCCAGATCCTAACAGAAGAGCCTGTATGCTTTCAAAAGAAGAAATTATTCAAAAGAAAAAAAAATTACAATATATTTGTTTTACTACTAGAACGAGAGGGAGAAGATTACAATTTTCTATCAAAGTTCTGTCCTTTAAATTGCATCTTTAAAAATACGAACTTACTGCATGATTCCTAAAAACGAATCCTTCGCATTATAGTCTAGTACAAGTTCGAGACAAAATGGCGTTTGACTTGCACCGGAAACACCAAGCGCATCACCAGGATAAAGGGGTTGAGGGTTGAAACAAAGACTCGTGAGAATGAAGATCGGCTCGGATATTCCACGATTTCGCTCAAAAAAAAAGTACAAAAAAAAAAGAAAGAAAGAAGAAGAGAGGAAGAGAGATTGCGAGTAACCTTAAAGGTTTTGGAAGTGCGTGTCACGTGCCAGGGACCGCGTCACGTGACTCGCGGCGCGGTAGATCCGCGCGGCGCATCATTGCATGAAGATCGCGATGGCGGCTGCCTTTTGAGCACGGCCTGCCATATTTCAGTCCCAGCCGATTTTTCCAGCCCGCGGTGCGTACACGCACTGCTTGACAATTCGCCGCAACGTCTCGGCGGACGTATTGCGAACATGAAGTGGCGCGGCAGGGTGCATTCGAAACGACGCGACGCCGATTTTAAAGTTTAAATGACCAGCGCGCCGCCATCTTTCGGCTCGCGCGTCAAGGAAATCCGTGCGTCCGATCTTCCAGCGACTTTCGCTTTTCGCCTCGTTTTCTCTCCAATCGTAAGAGCGCTCGCGTTCAGTGATTCTGTAACGTTTTCGATTTCATTTGCAACTTGCGACACAAGATTATCATTCGATCGGTCCATTCTCCTTAAGCTTCTGCTTTAAATTGAGTCGTTGAATTTTCTCGGAAACTTAGTTTCTACAATTAATTAATGTAAATTAACTAACGACATTTAGTCCCTCCAATTGATTTGAATTAATCGGGCTATTATTTAGTTAATTGAATTAATCGGAGTAACTAAATGTTGTTTAACTTGAAATGAGGAACAGAGCGAAATAGGAAGGCGAGTGAAATTGTCGAATATTGCTGTGACACAGAAAATTTTTATTATCCTTTTTGTTACATGAGCCATGGTCCGAAAGTGGTCCGAAAAGTATGGTCGGAATGGGTGTGTGAGGATCGTGCGGTTGTCCCCGGAATAGAAATTTCATCATTTCCGAGAGTTCAGCAAGTATCCTGTAACGCCCATGTCCAAATACCTGAAACAAGCGCAAG